TTTGTCAAACAGATTGTGAACGCCAAAAAGTGTACGTTCGATTCTAGAGGGGGGGACAATAAATATAAAAATAATTTGGTTAGGGTGTAGGGGCAGATTTGTCAACTTGTCTTTAGGAGATTTTATTATCTATTTACTTTATTTAGTCTGATCAGTGGAACAATTATAATTCTTAAAATGGGCTAAAATAGGGTAATTACTGTGCTTGTTAGCAAGAACACTTATTTCCCACACTTATTTTATTATTCCACTTCTTCCCAGTTTTGCCAGTGTAATCACATATTTGAAATGTGATATGCCTCCAAAAATGATTTATATGAGGCTATGTATTTTTGCAGCCATTCATGGAGAGTTTTGAATAAGTCATACAAATAAGCATTGGATATTAGATGCTCCAGTTTGTTTGACATTTTAGGATTGTGCACATTCTAGGAAGAGATTGTAGGGGGATTCACAACTCAAACACATCACATTTTGTCTATGTAGAGTAACATGATGGCAGGGATCTTCAACTAGTAGGCATAAACCATCTAAATATTTATTATATTGATTATATTTTTCTTGATGGTTGGGTGATTGAGAAGTTAGCCCTATTTTAGAAGAGATAGTTCACCCAAATTACCAAATGTTTGTGTCCTTACCTTGAAAGCAGTCTATGGCCAAGGAGACTGAAATATATTATTTGGTTACCCACTGCCATCAACCATTAATATAAACATTTCCTGTGCAGAGCCTTGGTGTGTAGTGGTAACACTCCCCGGCACGTCGCATACAACTTTTCACCTGAGAACAGGGCTCAATTCCTGCTTCCAAACTTCCTATTGTTTCTACCATTTGCCTGTATCCTAATCTCATTTAATTACTGTCTGACTAAAGTGTCAAACCACCCAAAAAATGTTAAGAAAATATTAGCATACTTTAACTTCCAACATCTCAACATAACAAAGTCGTCGAAATTTGAGCATTCAAAGCATCCTTAATACATCTGACCGGTGGTATTATTTTTGACCCTTGTCATAGGCCTAAGCCATGTCAAAATACGTAGATTGCAGGAAATTAGCTTTAAAACAATAACATTTTCCTGGGGGAGGACCCCGAATCCCCCTCTAGGGCTTGTGCCAGGGGGCAATGAAATTCACATAGAAAATCTCACTGCAAGCTTTCTTCACAGGTTGGCAGCCCTGTGATACTTCAACAAGAAAAACTACTGGGGCACTAATTCAACATCAACGACACAGAACTATAAATATCAGGCCGCTTGTAATGCTGGACGGAAATGTTCCTCTGAACGGTTTCTGCTAAAATAAACATTCTATAATTTTGTAAAACAAACGTAATATTCCCCAGTGTATCAAAGGTGGTCCCCATATAGATGTGATAGATAATAAACAGTAGAAGCAGCATATATGATGAGTAAAAAAAAGGGTCAATGGAGATAGTCCAGGTAGCTATTTGGTGAACTATTCAGCAGTCTTATGGCTTGGGTGTAGAAGCTGCCCAATCACCCAGCCAGGCTGGAGGACTGAGGCTGTAGTATAGGAGGTAATTACCTTCTGATCTGCGGCTGGGTTAGGGTTAGATACCCCAGGGACCTCTACGTGGGCATTTTTTGTACCAAGAAATGTAATGTAAGCAAAGTGTCAGCATTTAATTACTCAGGAAAAACAGTATTTGAAATGGGGAAGGTGTTTCAAATGATATGGGGTGTTTGACAGTCAAGCAGTGGCATGTATTCATGGATGCCAGGCTTCCCCAAAACATTTAACAAGAAAAAATTAAATTCGCAAGAGGCTTAATGTATCTCACCGGTATAAGCATCAGAGCAAGCGAAACAGCGCCCCTCGGTCTCTGTACGTATAGGCCATCTATCGGATGCTGTCTGGTCCAAAAGAGTATGACATTGTTGCTGCCCGTAGCAATCAATTGAATTTACCACAGGTGGACTCCAAGTTGTAGAAACATCTCAAGGATGATCAATAGAAACAAGATGCACCTGAGCTCAATTTCGAGTATCATAGCAAAGGGTCTGAATACTTATGTAAATAAGGTATCGGTTTTATTTTTAATAAACTTGCAAAATATCCTGTTTTCGTTTTGTCATTATGGGGTATTGTGTGTAGATTGCGGAAAAAATTAATGACATTTAATCAATTTTAGAATAAGGCTGTAACGTAACCAAATATGGAAAATACTTCCTGAATACTTTCGTATGTCACTGTACCTAGATGTAGAAGGCTAACGTTATCTAGGTAACGTTGCCCATGAAAAGGAAGTTAGGCTAGCGAGAAAGCATTTTAGCCAGGTAGCCTAGGATAACAAAAAATAAAAGCGTATACTGTATGACAGTGATAGACCGTTACGTCAACATTAAAGAGGATGGCATTAGCGTTTCTCTACAAGTACGGTGAGTCAACATGTTTTTTTCTACTTGCACACAGAGAATCAAAACCATGGACAGCCACCTATTTAGCTTACGTTGATTGGACAATTGTTTTTGGTATCTTTTAGTTGTCACTGTATTAGACTTAGCACGAGTGATTTGATGTTGAAATAGAAATGGTGCTGGAATAGCGGAGGCAGCTCCTGTTTTCTTTGCGACTTGCGGTAACTCTCCGTGGTTCTAAATCAATAGTTATTTAGTGGTCCGAAAATGTCGGAAACATTAACTTGCTTGACCATGCTGTAGGTCATGTAACTGGTTGTTACATGCAATATACTTTTTGGACTTCAGACAGTAGTTGTTCTCCTGTTTTTTGATGAAAAAAAGGTTTGGTTGAATTTATTCTGCCACTGTGTCTTACTGTCTTGGCCTTTAGGCCTATATATCACAGTCGCAAGGCATATGACCTAACTGGTTATAGAGCAAACGACGCAATTATCACAAAACAGGTTGTAATATGGATTTTTTTTTTTGGGGGGGGGGCTTCCCCAGTCATTTTACCCACGCTCCTGCATTCAAGTCTCTCTAAATTATGAATTTAAAAACAAGATAATGTTGCGTATATATTTTGAGTGTTTATTTAATAACCATTTATTAATATTTTCTTAGCTGGTGCCTCCACTGAGTGTGCCAAATGCCTTCATCTGTTGTTACACATCTCTGAGTAGAGAGACAGGATGTGGACACTGCACACTGAATTTGGTTGCCATGGCAACACACGGTCACCTAGGCAGAGAGCTCTGTAAATATTGTGCATACTGTATGTGTTATTTTGAAGTGTTAAGCATTATTTTATTTTTTTACATTTTTGATGTTTTACTGCTCTGGGGTTTGATCAATTACATCTTGTGGTCTTGACTCTCAGATTTGCAGAATTGGGATGGAAAGTCTATTTTTGGCTTACACGTTATAGCTAGCTAGCTAGAAGACTGTTTGGTTTTAAATAATGCAGCCCATGCTTTTTCAGTTTAAGCTGTCCGGAATAACTACAACAAGGACTGCATGCAGGCTCAGGGACTGTTCTTAACGACTGCCAAGGTGTGGTGGCTTTTTGTGCGCTTTTCACCAGCCATGGCATCACTCAGGTGGGTGCTACATGTTCGGCAATGGAGGACCAGTAGCCTACCTACGGAGGAGAGACATTTGGAGAAACTGACAGTCAGAAAAGCAGGTGTGGGGCACTGATGAAGAGCTCCTGGCCTGTTTGTCAGACTGTCTGTTTCTTCCTGGCTGTAACATCAATGCCCCCTCCACTGAAGCTACACTTCATTTCCAATCCAAACTACCTCAACCCCCGGCCTTTCCATCATTCGACGCCAACTAGAGACATTCAATCTCCATGATCTCAATTTATAATGTGTTGGTTTGCTTTTTTGTGTGCTTTGATATTATTTTCTGTAATGAAAAGCGCTACAGAAGTAAAGTAAATTATTATTTTAATAAATCCTTGTGGTAGAGCAGTCCATCGCAACATTCCTGGGATGCAGCATCACCAAGTTCCAACGCTGGATATTCCCGCCACCTACTGGGCTTGTTTAATGTATTGGATGACCTGTCAAATTAAGATTTCAAGCTGAGCGCACAGTCCGATTTTCCACAAGCTTTTAAAGTGTGGTAATTCATTCAAACGCTCACATTCCACTGTGCCAGTCCAAATTCCACAGTCGGGCTCGTGCCCTGTAGTGCAGTATTAGTATATAAATATAAACGCAACATGTAAAGTGTGGTCCCATGTTTCATGAGCTGAAATAAAAGATCCCAGAAATGTTCCATACACACAAAAAGGTTAATTCTCAAAAAATGTATTGCACACGTGTTTACATCCCTGCTAGTGAGAATGTATCATTTGCCAAGATAATCCATCCACCTGCTAGGTGTGGCATATCAAGAAGCTGATTCAAGAGTATGATCATTACACAGGTGCACCTTGTGCTGGGGACAATAAAAGGCCACTAAAATGGTGTCACACAACACCACAGATGTCTCAAGGTGAGGGCTCGTGCAATTGCTGACTGCAGGCAAGCGGACTGCAGGAATGTCCACCAGAGCTGTTGCCAGAATTTAATTTTCATTATTCTACCATAAGCCGCCTCCAATGTCGTTTTAGAGAATTTGGCAGTATGTCAAACCGACCTCACAACCGCAGACCATGTGTATGGCATTGTGTGGGTGAGCGGTTTGCTGAGGTCAACATTGTGAACACAGTGCCCCATGGTGGCTGTAGGGTTATGGTACGGCAGGCATAAGCTACTGACAATGAACACAATTGCATTTTATCTATTGGTAATTTGTATTCACAAAAATACTGCGATGAGATCCTGAGGCCCATTTTATTTTTACTTTTTCTGTAACCAACAGATGCATATCTGTATTCCCAGTCATGTGAAATCCATAGATTAGGGCCCATTGAATTTATTTCAATTGACTGATTTCCTCATATGAACTGTAACTCAGTAAAATCGTTGAAATTGTTGCATGTTGCCTTTATATTTTTGTTCAGTATAGAATGCTGTAGAGATGAAATAGACATTAAGATAGTATAATTCAAAAGGTTCTCACCTGAAGTGTCCCAGAGACTGAGTTCTATTCTTTGCGTGTCGATTTCAAAACTGGCTGTGTAGTTCTCAAACACCGTTGGGACATAGTTCTATAAAATAAAGAATTTGCAATACATCATTATGTTGATCATACAAACGTTATCCAATACACCAAGATGAGTTGCACAAAAAAACACTAACACATTCTGCATCGTAATTTAATCTGTAATTCTGCAAGCAGTTAATTTGAATCACTTGGTATGTGCGTAAAAGCGCACATAAAAGTTCGGAAAATATCATTTTCCGACACTTCCCCCTCGGGTAACGACTCGTAAATGGCACAAACACGCAAGTTAGTTCATTCATCCAAACGACATCCAACAATAGTCCTACCTCTGGAAAGCAATCTTTCGCAAAGACGTGAAGTAGAGCAGTTTTTCCACACTGACTATCCCCAACGACAACGATTTTACACTTCACGCTCTGGTTAGGATCCATCTCGGATTTCGGTGAAAGCTTTTGACCGGATCCTGTATCCTTCATTGACTTTTCAAATGTCTATAGATAAGCTCCGCACACAAATCAGATATCCATAACAATCGCTACTGTCCTGTTGATATTGTTAGCTACGTCCTCTATGCACCAGTAAACTACTTTTGATCATGCACAGCGACGAGCACAGGAGGTTTATATACGAGGCGGTGAACCAATCGGTTTCCTCGGTCATATGACGAAGCAGTGGTCCGCCCCTTTCTCCCTCGTGGAGACATCAACATTACCACGAGGACAGCGCCCTCTACTTGTCGGTATTCCCTACCATGCTCTCAGAGGAGAGGACAAGAAAGATGTGTTCAGAGGTGAAAAGAAGCCAGCAAATTTCCATAGTCAAAAAAAAAAAATAAGAGTCATTATCATTGTGGCTGAATAAGTGGGACACCTCAAGATAAGGTAATAATACAGTTACTTAACGGTCCATTATGTAATTCAGAAATACCTGGAAGGCTGGCACAACATGTCTAGCTACTCTGTGCTGAACATCTGGTAAACTAAATCGCACATAACTCATGTTCAGAAACATGTGGCTGACGCAACAACTTTGTGATGTTCCCTCAGGGCGAAACACAGCACCACATGGATTGTCGTCACTAGTCACCACAGCCACAAAGTCATCAACCCCGTCTATTTCTACATTTTTTACATTTTTAGCCATTTAGCAGACTCTCTTATCCAGAGCGACTTACAATTAGTGAGTGCATACATTTTCATACTGGCCCCCTGTGGGAAACGAACCCACAACCCTGGCGTTGCAAGCGCCATGCGCTACCAACTGAGCTACAGGGGACTACAACCTTATGCCTAACCCCAACCTTAAATTAAGACCAAAAAGCACATTTTTGTTTTAATCAATTCTGACTTTGAGGCTGTGGTAACTGGAAACCCCATATGGATGGAGAGTAGCGCTTAAAATAATAAAACAATATATATTTGTTTACTTCTGGTAGGTCTGCTTCTACATCTGGTAACAGAGTGGAGGGCCAAACCCCTCTGTTGTGTCTTGGCCAAATGCCAAGGGAGGGAGGACAAAGAGATGAATTCAATTAACTTTGTAATTAATGGATGAAGGACACTGGAGTGGTTCAAAATTAAGAGGGAGGGAAATTACATTTGATTTGGATTATTAAGTAGGCCTATTCATCAGTGTTGAGATGGGTGATCAATGCCATCCAGGACCTCTACACCAGGCGGTGTCAGAGGAAGGCCCCCAAAAATTGTCAGACTCCAGCCACCCAAGCCATAGACTGTTCTCTCTGCTACCGTACGGCAAGCCTTACCAGTGCACCAAGTCTGTAACCAACAGCTTCTACCCCAAGCCATAAGACTACTAAATAGCTAACAAAATGGCTACTCGGACTACCTGCATTGACCCTTGTTTTGCACTAACTCTCTTGCAATGACTCTATGCACACACACTGGACTCTACCCGCACACTCACACTGACATCCCAATACACACATACACACACAAAGCACTGCCTAGTCACCCCTATCTATATGTACATAGCTATCTCAATTACCTCGTACCTCTGCACATCAACTCTGTACTGGTACTCCCTGTATATAGCCATGTTACTTTTACTCGTTACTGTTTTTTTTTTTTTTTTTTTTTTTATTTCACCTTTATTTACCAGATAAGCCAGTTGAGAACAAGTTCTCATTTACAACTGCGACCTGGCCAAGATAAAGCAAAGCAGTGCGATAAAAACAACAACAACACAGAGTTACACATGGGATAAACAAAACGTACAGTCAAAAATACAACAGAAAATAGAAAATCTATGTACAGTGTGTGCAAATGTAGCAAGTTATGGAGGTAAGGCAATAAATAGGCCATAGTGCAAAATAATTACAATTTAGTATTAACACTGGAGTGATAGATGTGCAGAAGAAGATGTGCAAATAGAGATACTGGGGTGCAAATGAGCAAAAATAAATAACAATATGGGGATGAGGTAGTTGGGTGGGCTAATTTCAGATGGGCTGTGTACAGGTGCAGTGATCGGTAAGCTGCTCTGACAACTGATGCTAAAAGTTAGTGTGTATTTATTCCTCATGTCACTATTTCTATTTTTTATTACATTTTTTATCTTTATCTTAACTCTGTATTGTTGGAAAAGGACCCGTAAGGTAAGCATTTCACTGTTTACACCTGTTGTTTACGAAGCATGTGACAAATACAATTTGATTTGATTTGATGAATGTGATTTAAGAATGAAAAAAAAAACATTCAAATAATATGAGAAAAATTGCTATATTGTGCAATGTTTTCCACCTGGAAGCCCAGCCAAAACAGCATCATTACAACAGATAATTAATATTCCTCTGTCACTCAAAACCTCGATCTTGCCAAAAATATATAATTGAATGTGTTAAATTCCCAATGTCCTACAGAGTTTGATTAATATGAATGATGACAGAGCCCATAGGCAACATCTGCCGTCTCTCACCTAACCTAGGAGAATCAGGACCAGGTCGGTCTGTGTGTCCTATACTGCAGCACGGTGGAGGAAACTCAGTCACACACACACACACACACACACACACACACACACACACACACACACACACACACACACACACACACACACACACACACACACACACACACACACACACACACACAATGAGACATCTTGATGAGTTCCCGGACTTTGCCCTGCAGCTGTTCATCATAGTAAACGCATAATGAGGCCCTCTTGAGAGAGAGGATCCCTGCTTTGCGTGAAGGGAAGCACTTCATTCTGCAGCCTTTCTCCAGGGCCCGAGGCCCCAAAATTCTGCCCCTCCCTCCACTCATCCACTCAAATGAGCCACTAATGGTGTCGATTGCTGCTAATGATGTTCACCATGTGGTGTCACATACTGTAATTTCCCGAATATGCTAATCGTTGTAAACGGTATATAAATATGAATAAATATTATCTGTGTGTGATTAGATGCTGACAGCTGAGAACATTCACCACCACCACCACCAAATAACTGATGAACATGAACTGATGAAACTATTGCACACAAAAAACGGTGAGAAAAACATATGATCCATTGCATTGCAATACACCTCATTGTTTGATGCTATTGATTTTCATTGGAGAAGAGCAGTGCAAGTCCATTTGAATTAGTGTGGCAGAGAGGGATAGAGCAAAGAAACAAAAGTGGTATATTGTGAGCCCATCCCCCATGTCAGACAGCTCCACAACAGTTCAAAGTGATATAATAGGTCCTGACAGTGTGCAGTGGCATGCCCCCGCTGAAAACAGGCATCACATGGACAAGATATAACAGACAGATGCTGTCATCATCGGCTCCCCCTTTGTCTTAGATGTAGAAGAGTAGAATATCTGCATTTTGACAAGTTCAAGATTCTTGAGAATGCATCTATTTTAAAGATGTTTATAGTATCAACTTTCTTTTTCTCACAACAATAGTCCACATTAAATGTCTGTGTTTTTGTTCCAATCTGTGTATAGACTTAGCAAGATTGTGTTCCCCGACCCTCCCTAGCACTCTTTAAGCCACTGTCCAATGTTAAATGAACCACTTCAGGGAAAACTAACCCTACTTCCCCTGCCTACTGCTGCCATATCATTACCGTAACCCAGATCTAAGTTCTGTAGTTGTGTTGTTAAACCACATTAACTTGGTAGCCTGTTATTTTCACACCTAATACGCTTTCTCTATTTCACATGTGTTGGTGGAACTCGCTTAATGGCTGCAGCCGCAGGGTCCAGCTAGTCCTGTCAGCAAATAGTCAGCCTCCACTGAGAGACCCCCTGCAGGGTCCTGGTTGGGCCATTTAGCAAGTGACCACAGATTAGAATATGGGTGTCTGCAGGCACTTTGCGAGCACGCGAACAAAAACATACTCACACATTTTGTTCTTCTATCTTCGTGGGGACCTATTTTTTCTAACCCCTAACCCTTACCTTAACCCAAACCCTAAACCTAACTCCTAACCCCTTACCCTAACCCTAATTTTAACCTCAACCCCAATTGTAACCCTAAACGTAACCCCTAAGCTTAAAATAGCCTTTGTCCTCATGTGAGTAGCCTTGGCTTGTGTGAGCCGGAACGGCTCATAGGGCAGGAGCCTGTCTCCTGTTTCTGTAGTGCAAGGCAGCTTGATGTACAAGTACACCCCCTGGACAAGACGCTAGTCTGTCGCAGGGCCTTACCCCAATCTATCTCCTTAATGCTGAGTGCCAAGCAGAGATGCATCAGGTCCCATTTTTACAATCTTTGGTATGACTCAGCCAGGGATTGAACTCACAACCTTCCAATCTCAGGGCAGACACTCGAACCACAATTTTCCTTGTTTTACTATCCTTGTGGGGACCAACTCCACCAACACCCACACCCACAAACCTAAGAGAGATGGTGTGGGGGAGGGGAAGAAGGAATTGGTAGAGGGCTTGGAAGAAAATGGTGGAAAGAATGGGATAGAGACAAACAAAGCCATGTAAAGGGAAGGAGGAAAAGAGAGCGAGAGGAAGAACAAATAAAGAGGAACAGAGGGCAGGAGGGTGGGGTACGGAAAGGTCGGAAGCTAAGAACATTTGAGAATGGGAGAGGGGAGGAGGGTGTGAACATCTGCAGCTCAGCTCTCCAGAGGTTTGGTGTGTATGTGTGTATGTGTGTTTGTGTCGTCCCGTCCCAGCCCTGAGTGTGGCTAATTAAACTTAACCAGCAGGCTTCAATGGTCCCAGGGTTTCCCCCACCTCAATTCACAGTCTGGTGGTAACCTCCATTAATGGACTGCCAGGGAGCTCCATCCTCAACAAACAACAAATGGATGGGCATGGAGATGGGGGATAAGGGAGTGGGGATTTGATTTGTCAGGTTATGAAGTCCAGTTGGCCCGTCAATTCAGAGGTATGTTAGAAGAACACACGTAAATACACAAACACCTTTTTTTAATAGCACTCTGTCATCCTGGGGAGGTAA